TTTGATGAGTTAGAGTGAAAACAGGTTCTTTAACATGAAAAGAATAGTCTGACATGTCCTAGCTATGGGCCGAAACTTGAACATTGACGGACACCATTTACCTAAGTGTCCTACATGTCAGATGCATGGTATTTAAACATCTTTAATAAAGCTTTAATATGTGGTTCATCAACTGATATTTTTCCAAAAAGTTTCCAAGAAATATTTAAAGTGATATTTATTTAAAATATTTTGTACAAATATAGTCTCTGGAACATTGTTTGATACCCCAAAATTAGAAACCATTAAGATGTACATGGAATATGGGATTGATGAGATAAATGAAAACTCATATTAAGCAGTGAAGTGACTCACCTCTGATTTAGAGCAGTGGGCTCTGGAGTCACATTAGTACTGAGTTTGAGCCCCAGCTCAAGTTGCATGCTTTTGGGAAGGGTAGGTTAACTTCTCTAAGGCTCAACTTCTTTATCTGTGAAATTGGGATCTTTATGCCTACGTCATTGTGAGGATTAAATGGGATTATGTACATAAAGCATTTGCCATATTACCTGGCACTTGATAAATATTCAGTGGGATCTTGTACATGGTTGGTATTTAATATATATTTGTTGAATAATAGTGAATTCTTTAAAAAGTATTTTGGAATGCTAAGAAGTTGGAGAAAACTAATTGTATGTATATATAATACATGTATGCTTTGAAATTTAAAAATCAATTTATTTTTTACTGACCAAACTCATATGTTTATTGTGTATAACATGCTGTTTTAAATATGCATACATTGTTGTAGAATTAAATTGAGCTAATTCACATATGTGTTTCTCCAAGTATTTATTTTTTGGCAAAAATATTTTAAATCTACTCTCAGCAGTTTTCAAGAATGCAATATATTACTAAGTGAAAAAAGATAATAACTATGATTCTGACTTTATTAAAAAATTTTGTCTATTTAAAAAAAGAGTATTAGGAAGGATAGTCATAGAGGTGTAAATAGTAGTTATCTCCAGATAGGATTCTAAGCAATTTTTCATTTCTATTTTATATACTTCTAAGGTAACCCAAATGTCTCCCAGTTCTGTGGAGAAACTTACTGCTGTAATAACGAAATGTCTTGAGTTTCTACCCCAGGTACCCAGGTAACAGTACCATCTGTTCTCTTTACTCAATCCTTCTTCTCTAGGGTAACCACTTTCTTATATGCTTGTTCATGAATCATTCCAAGCTGTTGTCATTTGTCCCAGCTCCTAGGTTTATGCAATTGCTGTCTTCTCTCAGCACCTCTGCCCCACATGTGGTCCTCATCCCTCCACTTTCATGCCCACAAACTACCAGGAATACAAAGTTAATATGTGGTGACTTCAACTAAACTATTGGAGAGAAGGTAGTCACATTTTCACAAAGCACCTAGGGAACAATTTAAAACTGAATATTAACATCTTAGAGAGAAACTCTCATCAACTGTTTTGTGCCTAAACCTCAGCCTACCATGTTTTTGCAAACTTCTGCTCCTCAAGGCAAGAACTCTTTCCTTCCATTTAATTACCTTTTTCCTACTTCCTGAGATCTTCAGCCTCTTTCTCCAGATTACTCTCCAAAAAACATTTCAAGTTCTTTTCATATTTAAAGCAATTTCATTCACATCCCCAACCCAGCTTAGGATCTGGACACATCTTTCACAAAAGGTTATGGTTAGGAACTTTCCTAAACAACAAAAAAGCCATCTATCCCTGAACTGCAACTTCAGCTAAGCAGAGACAGCATGAGCAAAGACATGATTTTTCTTTAATTGGAAATTTGCTAATGATATCTTAAGAGGATGAAAATATAAATTCTTGGGTTTGTTGCTTTGTAATTAGGGAAAATTATAAAGAGATTGCTGCAGGATGTTGCTAGCCGAGATACGGGACACTGAGGCAATTTAGTACAAAGCAATGTTTTATTGTGCCAGCACAGACTCAGCAGACTCATGTCCAAAGGCTGAGCCCTGAGAACAAGGGAGTCTCACCTTATATACCCTTGCAAGCAGATTACAGACGCAAAAAACAAGGTCTAAGCCATATATGGTTATATTTAATTTTATTGGTTACTTTACCTTAGTGCTACGTGACTTTTTCCCCTCTCCAGTTCATGTTCAGATTCCTCAGGTTTTATCTCTCTGCTATGCCCTCCCTGCCTCCCTGTTGTTTTATCAGGACTAAGGCTTAGTCTGTTTTCTTCTGCTCCTCCTCCCTGCTACAAGAATTTTTGTCTACCTGTGACAGATATTTTCCAAATTTTCTATCATGAGTATGTATTCTTTAACAAAATAAAAATAGCAAAGATTACTCTAAAAAGAAAGTGTTGCCTTTTGACGAATGTCTCCAAAGTACTTTAAGTTTATATTTCAGAAAATATCCCATTTGTCAGTTCTGTTCCAGTCTGGCTCCTTGCCTAAATCCCCCTCCACACCCAAACCTACCTTCCCCCATCCCTTCTTTCCTGTTTGCCTTACAAGGGGTGAAAAAAGCCTGTGAATTTAAAACAGAGAATTTAAAAATATTGGCTGAGTTACAGGGATCATCCCACAAATTTAAACTCTTCTTTGTATAGATGAAAATTATACAAATGCCTTTCTCAATTGGAAGTATTCACTTAGATGAAACCAAGCTAGAGTCAGATGCAGAATACTGTACTAGACTTTATTTAGCATGTTTAGAAAGGGAAATATATATATATATATATATATATATATATACATATGTATGTATGTATATATGTTAACCAATATAGTTTAAGTGTACAAACATAATGCATACTTTTATATCTATGGAGTGACTTTATGTGTTAAATTAATTAAAAATATTTTGGCAGAGTAGACAACGTATGTAAGTTTTAAACTTTTAGGAAAAAAACTAAATACATGGACTAGGTCTTTTTTCTGGTGGATCTAAGATTTGAACTCAGGGCTTGGTACTTGCAAAGCAGTTATTCTACCACTTGAGTATACTCCAAAACTCCAAAGCTAGGTCTTAATAAAATAGCATGTTAAAATTAAAATTAGACATCTAGATATTTTCTGATGATATATGGAAGGGGAAAAACCTCAAAATTTGAGAATATGTACACTTTTATGAAATATAATCTTGTAATATATGTCATTTAAACTTTCCTTTCCTAAACTAGATAACACTGTCACCTGGTGGCAATGACTGACTACTGAAGTTTTTGGTATTTTTTACGTACTCAAACAAAACAAAACAAAACAAAAACACACACACACAAAAAGTGATTTTTGAGTGGTTGGTGAATACAATCTCATTCTGATTTCACAAGACAGGATAAGTTCCCCTAATAAGTGCAAGAATATATATTGTGTGTATTCCTTTAAATAATGTTCAGTTGCACAATGTTCAAATGCAATATTCCTTAAAGAAAAAAAAACAAACAAGCATCCAAATGGTCATTACCTGATGTAAAGTTTCATGAGCCAAAATGCAAAAGAAATTTATGAGCTAGCTCTAGATCACTAAACCGTATTTGCTAATTCTACTCCTTAAATGTATCAGTTGGAAACCTAACACATGTCTCCTCTAATAAAGCAAAAAACAAACATCATAATTCCCATAATAAATTATGCAAATCGTTTGATTTTTTTAATGCAAACAGCTAAGATTACTTAGCCTCTTTCTTGACACTTCAGAGAAAAGACAAAAATAACTGGGGTTTTCTTATTTTACCTACACTTTTAGCTGTTTTATCTATGTCAAGTTACTTAATCTCCTTGAGTCTCAATTTGTTTTCCTGAACAATAGAGATAATGCTATTACCTACCTGTTAGATTGCTGTGAGGATTCAGTTAATACAAGTGTTTCTTAGAACTGTGCCTGAAACCACAGGAAGCATTATATTTAACTCTCATTTTTATGATGAAAACTATTGATCAGGATCCAAATGTACCTACATCTAATTTGTATTAAACTTGACATAATTCTGCAATGTGACTTGGTTTGCCAGTCATTTTTATCATAGGGGTAAAATGACCACGTCTGACCTCATAGATATGGGAGAAGAAGTAATGGTAAAATTCCTGGGAAAGGAGTCTGTTAGATCTGAGTCAGAATTCAGTTTCTCTACCAACTGTTATGACATCTTGGACAGGTTGCCAAATCTCTTGAGTTAGTTTCCTTAGAATTAGGGATGACAGAATTGCTATAGGACTGAATGAGAAGTTCCCACTGAGCCTATGTCATGAAAGAATTCAATAAATAGTAGATATAGCTATTACTATTTTAAAGAAATATTTTCTGCACTCAGGATTTGAGCATCTCACTGGGACAACAATTTTAACATTTACCATCTGCTATAAGTAAACAACAGGACAGAAATAGAAAGTGAATTATTCCAGGATTGGGGCATGGAGATGGTTAGTGGTTTAGGGAAAGTGTCTGAATTGGTTGGTTAAAACAGCAGGCCTTTAGGGGGACTACCAAGCATAAGCTCTGAAACTCCTTCCAGGCCCATGCTTTACCCTCTTAATAGCTTACAGAGGAGGAAATAAAGTCTTAGCCAACTGCCCCTGGCACCCATGCCCAGCCCCTGGCACCCCTGCTCCGCCCCTCCTTCACTTCATAGGGGGGCAGCATTGTGGCTTCATCATTAAGACACAATGACATTGCAGGGAGTATCATGGTAACACTCCCTTAGGCACATTTTCTTCTTCCCCTTCAGGCTTGTTGGCAGGGAAAGGCCAGATGACAAGCTGAAACCCATCCAAGCTTGTATCTGTGATCACTGGTGAAGTCAACTCCAGCGAATCTGAGACATCAATAACATTCCTCAGGTAGCCCTCTCTTTTTTCAACTCCCACCTTGATAGAAGGGTATCTTGAAGCATGAATTAAGTTCAGAAAAATTGCCAACAGCCAACAGCCTCTCACCACATCACTGTAGTTAAGAGGTCCTATTCCATCAAGACCTTTATTGGCCAACCCCTTGTCTGCCAACTCATTATCTGACACCCAATCATAGCTCAACAAGGCCTTGGCCAACCTATCCTCAACCAACCAGGCATGAATCAACTGGAGGAGAACCAATCAGGTGTGAACCAATCAAGCCTACCAAATGTGAAACAAATAGCCACAAGTCATCTACACACAAGCTTACTTTGTATGAACCAACAAGATATGAGTCAACCAAGCAGAAGCCTAAATGATATCAACCAACTGAACATGAAACAACCAGACATAAGCCAACCAGGCCCAGGCCAAACACATATGCACCAACCAGTTACAAATCTACTAGACACAAACCAACCAGGCATGAACCAACCAAGCATGAAGAACCTCAGCATATGGCAACCAGGTATGAGCCAACTAGTCCCAAGTCAACCAGGAACGTGGCAACCAGACCCAAGCCAACCAGGCACCAGCCAATCAGGCATGAGTCAGCCAGGCATGACCCAGTCAGGCATGGGCAAACCAGACATGAGGTATCCAATTATGAATCAATCAAGCCTGAAACAACAGGGCATGGCCCAAGCAGGCAAGAGGCACCCAGTGACAAGCCACTCAAACCCAAACACTAGCCAATCAAACACTAGACCAGCAGGCATAAGGTATCCAGTGATGAGCTACTCAAGCCCAAACCAACTAGGCATAGGCCAATTAAGCACGAGCCAAGCAGGCATGGGGTATCCAGTGATGAGCCACTCAAGCCCAAACACTAGCCAATCAAACTTTAGCCCAGCAGATGTAAGGTATCCAGCAACAAGCCACTTACGCCCAAACCAACTAGACATGAGCCAAGCAGGCATGAGGCATCCAGTGATGAGTCAGTCAAGCCCAAACACTAGCCCAGAAGACATCAAGTATCTAGTGATGAGCCACGCAAGCCTGAACCAACTAGGTATGAGCCAACTAAGTATGAATCAACCAGGTCCAAGTCAACCAGAGTCAAGACAATCAGGCGGTAACAACCCAGGCTTGAGTCAACGAAGCGGAAGCCAATCACGTGAGAGTCAACTAGGAACTAGCCAATCAGACAGAAGACAATCGATTGTGACTTCTTTCCAAGTAAGACATGCAGAGGCTCAAGACTGTCCAGAAATCCTGCGCTTGATTAAAGTAAGCTTGTCTCTCCTCATTTCCTGCAGTTTCTTGACATTAGTTTAGGCCTGAAAAAGAATAAGGGAGGCATAGCCTGGGTTTGAATCTTGGCTCTCCTAATTATGACCCATGTATACAACCTGCTGGAGGTCCTAAACCTCCCTAATAATCTTCATTTTTCCATATATAAATATCAAGGTTATTATAATTCCTATCTCCAAAGATTGTTGTAATGATTTAATAACAATATAATTGCATTAAATTGCTTATTATATAGAAGGGAAGCTAAGGGTCATGGGAGAATCAACTAATGAGCTTTTAGACTGAACATGTTATCTCTCCTGAGAAAATTTTAACTTTAAATGAAGATCTTAGAGAAAAGGAATGCTTAAAGAAAAGATCCACCAATGACAGAATTTCAGATATTAATAGCTAAGATTTTGGAATAGGGAGTCTTGTTGTTTCTAAGATCACACTTACTTGTAGAATCTCATGGTTGGCTTCCTAGAAAAAAATATTCACACCCAACAAATTTTGGAGACAATTCCTTATTTCCAGAAGTCTGATCACAGGTAGCTGCCAAGAGTCCAAGCAGCTGAGTTAAAAATTTCTTATGTAAATGCTTATTCTAATGGTTTTCCTAGAAATCATTCCAGTGCAGTAAGGAGGCAAATAGCCATTGTTACTGTGCTGAAATTCTGGGACACTGAAGGCAATTGTTCATGTGATACACAATTCCATATAAAAGAGCCATAGAAGAGCAGTAGCTTATATTCCTTATGTGGCTGAAGTTTCTTGGGAGTTATTTAATGTGTAGTCATTGTAGAAAAACAATAGAAAAATGAAATTATTTTCTCTTCATGCATCATAGACAGGTATATAGTGATTAGTTTTGAGTTTTATGTTCTTCTTTAATATATGTCCATTATTTCTAACTCTGTTCATTGTTATGCTTGTAAAATACTCTTTACAAAGGAGTTTATTAGAGTTTGTCATCATAGCAATTCCTTAATTGAGTATACTGCAGATTTTATTTACTGTCCTACCATTTCTTTCAAGTATTTTCTGTATGCAGCCATTTTATCCTAATCACATCACAGCATTATTGGAGGATCTAATCATTTCAGTTAGGAAGCCATAACTTGTTGCTTACCAGAGTTTCTATCTCAAGCCTTTTATTGTGGTGGTTCTTGAAGTGTGGACCATTGGTGATCCATAGACAAGTGCTGGGTAGAACTACTATTTCTTTTTTTTTTCATTCTATAAACAATAAGGTTATTACTAAGCCCTTTAAAGAATATAGGGATTATTGAATTACCATCTCTGCTCTCAAGGAGCTTACAGTGTCAGGGGAGATATGAACATAAATAATTATTGTACTCCCTGCACAATTCATTCCCTATACAGCAGCCAAAATGCTCAAAACTCCACTGGACTCTGGTTGCAGTATGAATAAAATCCAACTTTCTTACTAAGGCTATGCATAACTTGGTTCTTGCTGTCCTACTTACATATTTTAAAACCTTCTTTTCCATTATAAAATTCATGTACTTCCAGTCAAAATTCCCAGATTTACATATGAAAAAATAAACAGAAAAAGAAGAGTAACAGGGGAGATGATCCTTACCAGATACTATAAAGTTGTAAGTTAAAATATTATGGTAATTAATGTAAACTAATTCAGAGTCCAGTAAGTATGTATGGGAATGTAGTGTATGATAAAAGGGACATTTCAAGTCAGTGAATGAAGGATGGACTATTTAATAACAGCATTGGCATAACTGGAGGGAAAATGTAAAGGCGAAATTCTACCTCACTTCTTACACCAAACAAAATCCAAATGAATCAATTATTAATATTAATTATTTAAGAAATGAAATCCATTACTTGTATAATTAATATAGCCTAACAAAATTAAAATTAAGAAGAAACCAAGGGTGAATATTTTCATAACTTTCCAAGCATGAGATACAAATCATGAATGAAAGAATTAATTGGATGTTTAAAAGTATAGTAAAAAGCCAAATCAAAAGAAAAGGCTAAAGCACCTGGCAAAAACACTTCTCAGGGAAAACACATTGACAGTCTTTTCTGTTGAGTCTGTGATCTTCACAATACATAAACTTTATGACAACTAACTTGAATGCTCAAAAAACCATTTCTTTTTTTGCTTTACTTCCCAGTTTTGAGTTGCCTTCAAAACTGGTAACCTGGATAATTGACCGTCATATGGCTGACAGATCAACTCTATCATCTATCTATCTATCTATCTATCTATCTATCTATCTATCTATCTATCTATCTATCTATCTATCATCTATCTATCTATCTGTCTATCATCTATCTTATCTATTTATCATCCATCCATCTTTATTCTCTTTGAGGGGGCAGTACTGGAGTTTGAACTCAGAGCCTCAAGCTTGGTAGGCAGGTACTCTACCATTTGAGCCAAATCTATAGCCCCTTTTTGCTTTAGTTACTTTTCACACAAAATCTCACATTTTTCCTGAGCCAGCCTCCAATCCTGCATAGCTAGTATTACAAGCATATAACACCACACCCAGCTTGTTTGTTGCAATAGGGTCTTGCTAACCTTTTGCTCAAGCTGGCCTCAAACTGCTATCCTCCTAATTTCTACTTCCATAATAGCTGGGGATTCCAAGTGTGAGCTATCACACCCAGTGTTCTATCTTTATTATTTTGTTGCATTGCTGTTATAGATTTTAAATTTCTAGATGACTGGGATTAAGTCTGACTCACTTTTTAACACTTCTTAGGACATTCTATGTCCATCAATATACAATAAAAACTTCATCTTGATTATTATCTAAATAATTCATTACTAAATCATAAACTGAAAGTTTTCTCTACTTTAACAGGAATTAGCTGACTGTGAAAACATGCTAGATGCAGTGAAATTAACAGAAGATGGTAAGATATTTTGTGGTATTTTCAGAGCAAGAAAAAGAAACGCATGCACACAGGACCAGTGCTTAGATATGTGGAAGCTGTTGCTCTTGGTATATAAAATTGATACCATTAAAAGTATCTACATATATAGGACATATATATGTTTTTTCAGTGATCCAGTATTTTTATACCTGTCCCCCCACCCTTTTTTGTGGGATTTGGGTTTGAACTCAGGGTGTCATGTTTGCAAAGCAGGCATTCTACCACCTGAGCCATGTCTCCAGTCCTTTTTGGCCTGGTTATTTTTTTGGAGATGGAATCTCTGGAACTATTTGCCCAAGGCTGGCTTCTAACCACGATCCTCCTGATCTCAGCCTCCTGAGTAGCTAGGAATACAGACATGAGCCACTGGTGCCTGGCTATATTTCCCCATTTTTTCAATCACGAAATTTATATTTAACAGTTTCTGAAAGTTTACAGATACAATATACTTCCACTGGTTTTCAAAGTGGAGAACAAGAAGAGTTAGTGGTCAAAAAAGTATAATTTAACACACAGTATGTTGGTCTGAGTTTGATAGGGTGAAAAATACAAAGCAAATTATTTAAAGATGTTTGCAAAATATTTATTACATTTGATAGCCACAAGTATTAATGGAAAGGCTAATATTTTGTGATGAATTAGTATTTTTTAGGCAGCAATAGGAAGATTAAGAGAAAATATGATTAAAGTGCATAAAACCACAAGTTGCAAAGATAAGGTAAAGAGGGTTATTTATTTAAAAATAGAAGAGTATAGTTAAGTATAACTCCCTGAAGCTGGATACTTCAGAATGAATCTAATAAACTGAGAACATTCTATCAACTTTATAAATGGCTTCATTATAATACTGAGTGACAGATAATTAACATCACTAGAATGTTAACTAGTAATTTTGCTGGTCTAAATGAAATACTAAGAAACATAAAGTTGAAAGTAATAGACACTCTGAAAGTAGTACTCAGACTAAAACAGTATTAGGATGTTGAGATAACACATTTCTTTTTAGTTAGGAAAATACTGCTCAGGGTAATGTGTAACAGTTAATCTTTAGAAAAAATGAAAAACAACAAAAAAATGTACTCCATCTTTCCATTGTTCTGATTATCAGTGTACCTTTTAATTGCACTAATTTCATGATATTCTCAGTCTTGTTTTTATCTTGAAAAGTCCTTGTGTACGTATATAGAGGCAAATAAATACTTGATATTTCTCAACTTTTACCTACAACTATAAAAGTTTAAAGCCTGTGGTAAAATATACACAATAGATATCATTTTAACTATTCATAGGTGTACAATCCAGTGGCATTGAGTACATTCACAGTGTTGTTCAACCATTACCAACACTTATCTCTGGAATTAATCATCCCGTTTGAAAGTCTGTAACCATTAAATTGTAATTCCTCATTCCCCAGCCCAGCCACTGGTAACCACTGTTCTACTTTCTATCTGTGTTACTTTGCCTCTTATTTTTTTGGCTCTATTAATTTGCCACTTCTAGGTACCTCATATGACTGGAAATACACAATAATTTTTTTTGAATGTCTGGCTTATTTAACTTAGCATGACGTTGTTGATGTTCATCCAAGTTGTATTCTGTATCAGACATTTATTCCTTTTTTAAGGCTGAATAACATTCCATTATGTATATCCCTCATTTTTTATACATTTATCCATACATGGACATTTGGGTTGCTTCTGCCGTTTGACTATTGTGAATAATGTTGCTGTGAAACACTGAAGTACAGGCATCTGTCTAAGTTCCTACTTTTGGTTCCTTTAGGCATATACCTAGACATGTATTTCTGAATCATATGGCAATTCAGTTTCTTTTATTGAGGAACCTCCATATTTTCCATAGCAGCTTCAACCTTTTTACACTCCTACTAGCCAGGGTTCTAATTTCTCCATTTCCTCATCAAGACTTATTTGCTGCTTTTTTGTCATTCTTGTTTTTGGATAATAATTACTCTAATGTGTGTGTAGTGGTATCTCATTATGGTTTGATTTGCATTGTCCTAGTGATGAGTGATGTTGATCATCTTTTCAAATGTGTTTATTTGCCATTTGTATATCTTGTTTGAAAAATGTCTGCTTTTGAATAGTTTTGAATAGTTTTTTATGCTATGTTGAAGTTCTTAATGTATTGTGTATATTAATTCATTCTTAGACATGATTTTCAAGAATTGTCCCATTCCTTGGGGTTTATTTTGACTGCTTTTATAGTGTTCTATTATACACAAATTTTTAAAGCTTGATGAAGTTCAGTTTGTCTATTTTTTTCTTTTCCTGCCTGTGCTTTTGGTGTCATATCTAAAAACCACTGCCAAACTCAATGTCTTGCAGAGTTTCCACATTTTCTTCTAAGAGTTTTATAGCTTTAGCACTTATGTTGATGTTCTGGATCTATTTCAAATTAAAATTTTATATGGTATGAAGTAAGGGTCCAACTTTGTTATTTTGCATATGAATATCCAGTTTTCCCAGCAATTTGGAAAAGACAGTCCTTTCCTCAATGAATGGTCTGGCACCCTTGTCTAAAATCAGTTGAGCAGGTAGATATTTATTTTTGGGCTTTCTATTCTGTTCCATTGGTCTAGATATCTGTCCTTTTGTCAGTGCCATTTAATTACTGATTTAATTACTATAGCTTTGTAGTAAGTTTCAAAATCAGAACTATGAATCTTCCAATTTTATTTTTCTATTTTAAAGTTGTTTTGGCTATTTGGAGTGTGTTGGAATTCTATATGAATTTGACAATGAGCTTTTAAGTTTCTATGAAGAAGGATTTTGATAGAGACTACATTGAATATGTAAATCATTTTGTGTTGTTTCAACATCCTAACAATGCTAAATCTTCCTATCTGTACTAATGGGCTGTCCTTCAATATATGTAGTTCTTCATTAGTTTCATTCAGCAATGTTTTGTAGTTTGCAGTATACCTTTATCTCCCCTGTCCACAGAGGATATGTTCCATGATACTCATGCCTGACATGACAGATATTACAAGTAAACTCTGTTTTTTCCCTATACATACCTATGGTAAAGTTTAATTTATACATTAGGTATGGTAAATGATTAACAATAACTAAAAAGTACAATAAGTATAATAATCATAACAATATACTGTATTAATATTTTCAGTACCATTACTTTTGTACTTGGGGCCACTATTATATAAAATAAGGGTTACTTGAATGCAAGCACTACAATATCATGAAAACTGACTTGATACCCAAGATGGCTACTAGGTGACTAATGGCCTTGTAGAATATATACCATAGTATGTACCTATTTTAATGTAGTAATGGCACCCATTTTCATTTCCTATTTTAAGGTTTGCACCCTCTCCTTTTTTGTTTTCTTTTTCACTATAGCCATCAATTTTGAAACCAACTTTTGGTCTTTTTTCTAGTTTATTTATCCATGTTAACTTTTATTACCTTAGGACTTAGTTCGTTCTTTCTTTAGTTCCATATCCCTTAAGTTTAGGCTATTGTTTGAGATCTTTTTTCCTTTTTTATAATATGGGTATTTATTGCTATAAATTTTCCCATGAACACTGCTTTGACTAGATCACATAAACTTTTGTTTGCTGTATTTTCATTAATTTCTAAATACTTTATATTTTCTCTTGTGATTTATTTCTATCACTCATTGGTTGTTTTCAAGTGTGCTGTTTAATTTGAATTTCCCAGTTTTTTCCTGCCATTGATTTTTAGCTTTATCACATTGTGACTGGACAAGTTATTGTGCATTATTCCAATCATTTAAAATTTATCAAGATATGGTTTGTGACATCACATATGGCCTATCTTGAACAAAAGTACACCTGAGAAAAATGTGTGTGTGTGTGTGTTTTATTATTCATTTATTTACATGTGTGTACATTGTTTGGGTCATTTCTCCCCCCTGCCCCCTTCCCCCACCTTCTCTTCCCCTCCCCCCTCACTTCCAGGCAGAACCTGTTCTGCCCTTACCTCTAATTTTGTTGAAAAGAAGACATAAGCATAATAAGGAAGACAAAGCATTTTTTGCTAGTTGAGATAAGGACAGCTACAGAGATTCCTAGCATTGCTTTCATGTACAAATGTGTTACAACCCGAAGGCAAAAATGTCAATATTGTCTGATTGCATTTTTGATCTATGTACAGATTCAATATATAAGACAATTACAATATAAATAGATGAGGATAAAGAAACCTATCTAATGGGAAGTTTCCACATTCCACTTGTGTTGAGGTTTGGAGTCTAAAGTGTCCCTTCCAAAAGCTCACATGTTGAAGGCTTGGTCCCTAGCTGGTGGCATTGTTGAGAGATAACTGGATCATGAGGGCACCAACTTCATCAGTGGATTATGCATTTATGGATGCATAACTGGATGGACTATTGGGAGGTGGTAGAAAATGTGGAAGGTGGGGAACGATGGGAGGAAATATATCCCTGGGATCATGGCTTTGACAAGGATCTCTTGTTCCCGGTCCCTTCCTCTGCTGGTCTCTCTGCTTCTCCTGGGTGCCACGAAGCAGCTTTTATCCTTTATGTCCTTCCACCATGATGTCTCTGCCTTGTCACAGGCCTAAGAGCATACAGCCAACCATGGACTGAAATCTCTGAAACCACGAACCAAAATAAACCTCTCCTCCATATAGTTGCTCTTAGGTATTTTGTCACAGGGACAAAAAACCTAATATATACAAGTTGGAAGTGGTAACATAATCATTTTAAGTAGACTGTAAAAAATTAAGCATGTATATTGTCATCCCCAGAACAATCACTAAAAAAATCTATACAAAGAGAGATAGTAAAAATTACAATAGATAAATTAAAATTGAATTAAAAAATGTTCATCTTACCTAGAAGAAGTCAGGAAAGGAGGAAACAGAAATAATTTAAAAAGGATAAAGGGATGCATAGAAAACCAATAAAGTGATACACCTAAATCTAAACATATCAATAATTATATTTAATGCAAATGA